AGGGCGCTGGCAGCCTTGCTTAGTGTTGGGTGAATTGACTGCTCGTGCCTGGATCTCAGAGAAGGAAGAGGTGGCGTGGAGGGGATGGGGGCAGGGAGGGGGGGCTGCCACAGTGGGCAGGGTGAGGACAGAGCTCCTTCTGGCACTGGCACTGCCCCAGAGACCACCCAGGGCAGCCGGCCGTCTGGTCTGCGTCTCGGCCCACGTTCCTGGAGCCTGATGCCCACAGCCCTGCCAAGGCCAAGGCGAGCCGAGGACACGCTGGGCTCTCGTTTGCGGCTGTGGCGGGCTGGCCCCGGGCTCAGCACATGCGTGCCTCGGCCCATCTGATCTCCGTGACGCTGCTCCCGGTACCCCCTCACTTCCCATGGAGGCCGCTGGGCCCAGCGCGGGGGCTGCCTGCCCAGGGACACGCAGGGCCAGCCCCGTGCGGAGGGACTGTTGCCGTTTTTATGGAGCAGATGAGGAGACCGAGGCACAGAGAGGTCACCTAGGGAGCCGGTGGTGGAGCAGGGCTCTGACTCAGGCACGGAGCCCTCCAGCCTGATGAGGACAAGGGCCGGGACGGGGTTCCCTGCCAGTCACAGCGCCCGCAGGTGGCACAGCTCTTGCACGTGAGGCGCCTGTTCTCCTTCCAGCCCGGGGGGGACGCCGAGATCACAGCCCCCGTTTCACAGAGGAAAGAAGGAGACTTGCTCAAGGTCACCCAGCAGGTGCGGTGCAGGCAGGGCTTGGGCCCAGGCGCAACACCCGGCCAGGCCCGCCTGGGCCCTCGGGGGGTAGGGCCCTGCGTTGAGTGTCCGGAGGAAAGGGCTGTGGGCACCCAGGGGCGTGGCTTCTGGGCTGGGGGGCAGGAGCGGGGCTGGGGGTTGGGGGGAGCTCAGCTTTGCCTCCGGCGCTGTGGGGGCCTCAGCATCCTCCTCTGTACTAGAAGCGCCCTGCACCTTTCTGTGGGGCTGGGGGCCCTGCGGCCTGGCCTGGCAGCCCTGGCTTCCGGAGGCGCTGGGGAGGCGGTGTTCTCGGCGTGCCTCATTGCTCTCGCCATTAGCACAGCGGTGGCCCCGTTTCTCTCGCAGGATCTGTTCCCCCAGCTGCTCTCAGCCTCCTCCCTCCCATCCGTGTGGCCGCGGGCCCCAGGGAGCCGGGGAAGGTGTGGGCTGTGTGGCCGCGGGCCCCAGGGAGCTGGGGAAGGTGTGGGCCGAGCCCAGAGGGGGGCTCTGTCCTGGGGTCAGGGCCTCCCTCCGAATCGGCCCCTCTAGGCCCGGCGAGCTTGCACTCGTCTGTTTCTCAGCAGAGCAGCAGGCCATCTGTCTGCCTGTTGGTCGGTCTGTCTCTCTCTCCAGCAGGGCAGGGACCTCCTTGAGGGCAGAGGCCACGTGGGAAGATCAGAGCCCGATCAGTAGTGAGCTCCCAGGTCTGGAAACATGAGGGGAGAGGCAGGCCGTGGCAGGGATGGTGAGCAGAGAGGGGAGAGAATGGGGGGGGGGGGTGGGGGTGTTTGGCGGTGTGTGTGTGTGTGTGTGTGTGTGTGTGTGTGTGTGTGTGAGAAAAGGTGGATGCGGGGTCCCAGTCCCCTCCTCTTGGCTCGGAGACCTCATGGCGAGGGAGAGGTTGGGGAGGCCCTGCCCTCGGTGTGCAACCAAAACAGAACAAAGCAGCGTGAACGCAGACTCAGCAGGAACGTGTTCTGTGACCTTTGCGCAGACAGGGCCTGGCGGTGGCAGACTCGGCGCCCCACCCAGGGCATTTGCATGGGGAGCTCTCTGCATGGGCCCCGGGGACCACTCACCCCGGGACGCCTCCATGAGAAGGCGCACCCCCACGTGGGTCCGCGGTGTTTGCATGTCCTCTGAGGCCGCTCGCTCCAGGCTCGGGAGCTGCCCGCCCGGAAGTGCCTGACACCTGCTCCTCCTCCCCTTTCTCGGCGCAGCCCTGGCCCCGGCTCTGGGCCAGCGCAGTGCGTACCCACACCTCCTCTGGTCGCCTCGCCCCACCCCAAAACCAGGCAAGGCAAGGAGACCTCTCTCAGAGAGGGAAACTGAGGCCCCAAGGGTGTGAGTGTGTGGGTGGCAGTCACAGAGCCTGACCCGAGGCCCAGAGTCCTTTCCACCCCGAGAGTGAAGTCTTTAAAAAAAAAAAAAAAAAAAAAAAAAAAAAAATATATATATATATATATATATATATATAGTTGATTTTTTACAGAGAGGAAGGGAGAGGGATAGAGAGCTAGAAACATTGAGGAGAGAGAAACATCAGTCAGCTGCCTCCTGCACACTCCCCACTGGGGATGTGCCCGCAACCAAGGTACATGCCCTTGATTGGAATCGAACCCGGGACTCTTCAGTTCGCAGGCCGATGCTCTATTCACTGAGCCACACCGGTGAGGGCGAGAGTGAGTCTCCCTGCAGACAAAGCCAGGCACCCAGGGCCAGAGAGGGCACCGGGGGAGGCACGGGGCCGGGCCGGGATCACTCACAGGAAATATCTCGGGAGCCAGAGCCAGAGCTCAGAACAACAGCAACGGGTTCTTACGGGTCCAGCCGAGCTCCTCGGAGGTCCTGGCGGAGGGTCCCTCCTGACGCTGCGGCTTCTGGGGGTGTCAGCGCCCCTGGCTTCCTGGGCCGGGGGCCGTGTCACCGTGACCTCTGGCCCCACCTTCGCATGGCCGTCTCCTCTCTCCCCTCGTGTGTCTGTGTGTCACGGGCCTCAGGCCTCTCCCCTCGGGATCCAGGCTGACCTCCTCATCTCAGGAACCTCAGGATCTTTTCCCCCAAATAAGATAAAACCCACAGGTGCTGGGGATTAGAACGTGGCCATGTCTGTTTGGGGGCCACCTTCCAACCCCCTGCAGGGTTTCCTGGGCTCCTTCCCATGGCAGCTGCACGGCCTCCGGGGGCCTGTGGACCCAGGCGGCCCAGCACACTATTCCCACGGCCTTCTGCTGGCCAGGCAGGGCGCAGGGCGCACCCCGATCCCAGGGGCGGGAGAGAGCACCCCTGTCCGGTGGGAGGTGTGGCAGAGACACGGGGCCAGAGGGCGTGCACGTGGGAGGGGCGGCCGAGGCCATGGGAGGAGCAGCCTGTCGGAGCCTGTGTGTGTGTTTGGATGAAAGCCTCTCCCCGGGGCCCCAGATGTGCTCCCGGTGATGGGCTTGCTGACGAGGCGCGGGGAGAAGTGTTCTGCCCGAGCGGGAGCCCCCAGACCCAGGCCCGGCAGGAGCTGTCACTCCAACTCCGTGGGTGACTTCGGGCCCATCTATCATTCTCTAAACCAGCGGCCGCCAACCGGGGGCCCTCGGACCCCTGGGGGTCGGTGAGGTCCGAAAGGTTGGCGACCGCTGCTCTAAACAACGACACATGGAGTGCCTGCTGGGCCCCGAGAGGAGCACGGGTCCCTGTGGAAATGTCTGTCCTGTGGATGACAGAAGCTCACAGCAGGCAGACTGCTCACAGGGCGCGGCACGCAGGAGGAGGAGAGCCGTGTGGGGCTGGAGACTCCCTGGGGACAAATAGATCAGGAGGAGCCTCCAGGGCAGAGATTGGAGGAAGATGAGAACTCCTGCCCCATCCTGAAGCTGGTCCCCTCGGCTTCATCCTCCGGACCTCCAGAGGGTCTGTCTCAGCGGCCTTTCCTGGAACGGTCGAGTTCCCAGCGGCCACTGCAGGAGGGGCCGGGGCAGGGGCCGCCTAAAGCTGTGAGTAATTGGGCGCGAAGCTTCTGGTCAGCTCCCAGAAGCCGGGTTCCACGCCAGCATCCCAGGCTCAGATCCCAGTGGCGGTCTGGGACCGGATTTTCCCAGGACCCCTCTTGCTCCTCACAGGCCCGGCCAGGTCCTGGGCTCTGGGGAAATGGGGAACCCACCCCCCCTCTGTCCATTAGATCCTCCGGCCCCACCAGCACCACCGGGAACAGACCTGTACCAGCTGCTCCCTCACCTTTGAACTTGGGTCTGCTTGAACCAAGAGAACCCCAGGGACCACCCACGAAGTGCCAGTGTCTCTCCAAGGGCTCGGGCACTTTGGGGTTAGACACGCCTCCCCGCTGTGTGGCCCTGGGCGAGCCCTCGCCCTCTTTGAGCCTCGCAGGGCAGAGCACAGAGGCTGGAGTCGGCACAGGGTGAGAGGGCAGCTCCTCTGGGGAGCAAGGGCGAGAGAGGTGGCAGGAAGGACCAGCCTCCTGGGGATGGGGTTGGGGCAGGAGGACCTGACCTGCCGCTGGTGCCCGGCCCCACCCCCCACCGTTCTGGGAAGCTCTGGGCCCGGCCTGCCCCCACAGGAGCTGGAGAGGCCCAGAGCCTGTTAGTCACCAGGCAAATAGTTTACGTCACCACAGCCACCTTTATTCCAGTGCTGGCAACTGGGTGGGGTGGGGCCAGAGATGCCAGAGATAACAATCTCTTCCCCCTCCCTGGGCCTCAGTTTCCCCCTCTGGCACAGGGGAGGGAAGGCTTCCCCCGTTTCCATCATCGGGATCCTGTAAAGATCTGGGGCTGAGCCCGTCAGCCACGGTGTGTGGGCACCGAGGGGCACCAGTCCCGCTCCTGGCCCTCAGGGGGCTCCCAGGCTGTGCGGGCGGCCCAGGCCCGCCCACCGCCATCAGCTGGCAGGAAGGAAGGGCAGGAGGGACGTGGCCCAGCGACAAGGCAGTTCGAGAGCCCCTCAGCCGTGGTGCTGGCTTCACCGAGCTCTGTCCTGAAGGTTCATGACTGGTCTTGTGTGGGGACCAGGGGCAACGACTCCCCCACTTCTGGGCAGGTTTCTGACACCCTCCTGCATGTCACTGTGGGGAGGGGGCCTCCGTGACATTCTCCAGAGGGTAGAGCTGAGCTCCGTCCTTCCCGGCCATGTTGGGGTCTTCGCTGAGAGAGAGCCTTGGCATGGACGACCAGGCCCCTGAGGGAGCCAGTGCCGGGGCGTTGGGGCCCGTAAGGAAGGCCAGAGCTGTCCCCGTGGAGGAGGCCACTTCGTCCGCAGTGGCCCAGGGCCATGGAGAGGTCGGTCTCATCGAGCACAGCAGGGGCCACCATCGCTCCCAGCATCCTCAGCTGGTGGTGCCAGAGGAGGCTGCGGAGAGGCTGGCCTGCTCAGGGTCACTGCGGGGAAGCTGGCCACAAAGCTCTCCCACCGTCTCCTCACCTGCTGGAAGACAGGAGCGGGGAATCAGGCCCCAGGGCTGAGTGCTGGGTTTCAGGTGTTGTTCCATTTACAGCCACAAGGTGGTGGCAAACCCCAGAGATAGAAGTCCTGGGGACCCTTCTGCAGAAGGAGGCAGGGCCCCTCCCACCCCCAGGGTAGCTCCCAGGAAGGACAGCTGGGTTCTTCCCCCCCCCCCCCCGCCCCCATAAAAGATATAACTCTGGGAAGTTGTATTGGCTGATTGCTTTGCCTCCAGCAAAATCCACCCATCCAACACACTGCCAGAGTAATCATCTTAAAACAGTTCTGACTATATCCCGGGCCAAAACTTTCCATGACCCCCAGCACCTACGGGATAAAGCCCAAATACTGTCAGGGCCCTCTGAAATATGGTCCCTGGATACCTCTCTCTCCAGCCTCATCTCCAAAAGCTGTTGTCTCCTTGGTCCGTGGCACTGTATGTTTCTACCTCTGAGCCTTTGCTGCTCTGGGTTCCACTCCTCAGAGTCCCCACCCTCACCGTGTAACACTCACCCATCCATTACCATCATCATCCACCCACTCATCCACCCATCCATCCATCCACCCACCCATCCATCCATCCATCCATCATCCACCCATCCATCCATCCATCCATCCATCATCCACCTACCCATCCATCCATCCATCCATCCATCATCCACCCACCCATCCACCCACCCATCCATCCATCATCCACCCACCCACCCATCCATCCATCCATCTTCCACCCATCCACTCACCTATCCATCCACCCATCCATCCATCATTTTTCCATCCACCCATCTAACCATCCATCCACCCATCCACCCACATCCATCCATCACCCGTCAGACCTGTTGATATTGCTTCAGCCACCGCCGGCTGCCTCCTCGCTGAGCTTGGATTAGCTGCTCCGTGTCCCCCAGGCCCCCTGGCCGCCGCTCCTGATCAAAGGAGTCCAGTCCTTCCGGGTCTCGATCTGAGGGTCTGGACTTCTCACGACCCTGTCTGAGGCTCAGCGACCGTCGCAGGGGCTTCCCCCAAGCCTCCTGGAGCTTGCCGTAGGAGGGCCGTGGGCCTCGCAAGGACTGGCTGCGTAGCCCTGTCCCCATGGCTGGTACACGCAGGACTGCTCCAGGCCCTCGGCAAGCCACTAGCCTCTGAGATGGCCCGGTGCCTTCACCCAGCTGACGGGAGCTCCCTTGGGGGCAAAGGTCGGTGCTGCTGAGGTGGCCATCGTAAAGCAAAGGGCAAGCGCAGGGGCCAAGCATCTCTGAGTCACCCTCCGCACCATCTCTCCAGCTAGGGCAAAGGCTGAGGCCTCTCCCCAGCCCGCCTCTGCCTCCAGCCCGCTTTCCCTGACCATGCCATCTCTGAAAAGCGTGGCCTCCCCGATTCCTGCACCCTGACTGTCCAAACGTGTTCTGTCGACACTGAAAGCAAATGGCTCCACAGAGAGGAGCGTTAAGAAACAGGACAGCCCTGACCGGTTCGGCTCAGTGGATAGAGCGTCGGCCTGCGGACTGAAGGGTCCCGGGTTTGATTCCGGTCAAGGGCATGTACCTTAGTTGCGGGCACAAACCCAGTGGGAGCTGTGCAGGAGGTAGCTGATCGGTGTTTCTCTCTCACTGATGTTTCTGATTCTCTGTCTCTCTCCCTTCCTCTCTGTAAAAAATCAATAAAATATATTTTAAAAAAAAGAAGTGAGTTGGTGACATTTATTTTCTGGGGCAAAACCTTTCCCCTCTCGGTCAGTCTTGTTATCTATAAAATGGGTTGTGAAAATCAAATAAAATCACAAACGGGGGTGTTCCCAAAAAGGAGATAACTACCGTGTTTCCCCGAAAATAAGACCTAGTGCATGGAAAGATAAGACATCCCCTGAAAATAAGACCTAGCGCAACTTTGGGAGAAAAATTAACATAAGACACTCTTATTTTCGGGAAACAGGGTAGTATCAGCCTTTCTGTCTCCCGGGACGGGGTCAGGAGGACGGTACGAGGGCTGTCCAGCAACCCCTCAGATTCCTAGAATCAGAGATCTGACGGGGACCTCGCACATCTGATCCATGCTTCTTTTTGCTTTAACCACTATTTTCTGAGCATTTTTAATTGGTTCCTCCACGTATTTTATTTAAATCTCACAAAAGTCCTATGTGGTGGGCATTGTATTCTTCTTCTGTAGATTAGGAGGCCCAGAGAGAGTGGGCACCTGACCAGAGAGTGTGCCCAGCAGGTGGCAGGCTGGGGCCCTGCCTGGGTCAGCCCGGCTTTGGAGCCCAGTGCTCCAACCACTCTGCTCTCCTGGCAGAGGCACGGCTTGAAGCCGGGGTCCTGCCTCCTCTATGTTTGGGCTGCTGCCCACGGCACTCCTGTCCGGGGTCGGGCAAGTGCTGGCTGCAGCTCTTGGCTCATCTCAGACTTGTCCCGGGTTGGCCTTGCCCGCTTCCCGCTCTCTCACGCTCCAGGCCAGCGGTTCTCAACCTGTGGGTCCGGACCCCTTCGGGGGTCGAACGACCACTTCACAGAGGTAGCTGAAGACCATCGGGGAACACAGATATTTACATTACGATTCATAACAGCAGCAAAATCACAGCGATGAAGGAGCAATGAAATAGTTTTATGGTTGAGGTCACTGCCACAGGAGGAGCTGTGGTAAAGGGCCGGGCGTTAGGAAGGTGGAGGACCACCGCTCTGGGCCTTCCTGGGATGAGAGGCTCTTCGCATCCCCCAGGCTCAGCTCCCAGCCGGAAGCAGAAAATGGAGCCAGAAAATGGAGCCGGTGTGCGGAGATTGAATGGAGAAAGGGGGCCCAGGCCTTCCGTCCCATCACATCCCAACGGTGGACCCAGATCCACACCCAGGCCTCTCCATGCCAACCCTGACCACGCCCCTCAAGCCAAACCCCTGCCCCTGGTTAAAAAGCAACAGAACCGTTACTCAATCTCCAGCGCCCTCACCCCAGAGTCCAATCACAGCCCCACCCGCACCGAAGGCTGGGCAGGGCGGGGCCTGCTGACGGGCACATTCCTAGGAGCCTCGGTGAATCACGCTCTTGTGTCATCACGTGTGGCTGCCCAGCACCCTCCCGCCAAGGGTGCGGTTTTGTAACTTCCCGAATCTCCGAGGATGGGGAGAAATAGAAATATGTGTTTTTGTTTTCCCCTCCACCCTGCTTTCTCACCTGGCGCCTTCTTACTCATCTTTCCAGACCCTGCAGTGTGACACCTCCCCGGGGCTCGCTGGGGTGAGAAAGGCAGCGTCCTCTGCAGCCAACCACACACTCAGAGCAGCAGTGACCACACGCTGTGTGTCCCTTAGGGGCCGGGACACCGTCTCCTGCATCTCCCTGTCCCCGGGGCACGCGAGTCAATACTTGATCTTGAATATTGGAGGCGATTACTTGTCTACCGCTGCCTGACCCCTTACCCTGCCATCTAGTGGCTTTCAGCAGCGCTGCTGTGTGACCCCAATTTCTATGGGTCAGGATCCAGGCACAGCTCTACTGGGCCTCTGGCTCGGGGTCCCCTGCAGGTTCCAGCCGAGGGGGGGGGGGCACACTGCGGTCATCCAAGGTCCTTCTGGCACTTGTTGGCAGGACTCGGATCCTTGAAGGTTGTTTGTTGCGCGGGAGCCTCCGTTTCCTGTGGGTTGTTGTCTGTTGCCACGTGTGCCTCTCCCAAGAGCAGCTTACCACGTGGCAGCTGGCTTCGATCAGAGCCAGCCAGTGAGAGGGCAGGAGATGGCGGGTGGGCAGGAGCCAGTCTTTGGGGAACTTGATCTCAGAAGTGACCTCCCACCATTTCTGCCATATTCTGTTCCTTCAAGTGCAGTCACCAGGTGCAGACAGCACTCAAGGGAGGAGGGAATCCCCACCCCCACCCCCCGGGCATGGCACGAACACCAGGAGGCAGGACTTAGGAGGTCATTATGGAGGTTGCTCCCCCGTGACACCTGGACTCCAAAGCCGTCACACTGCCGGAAAGCACTCTCCCGTGGCAGCTGTGTGTCTGGAGCGAGCGGCTTAGCTTCCTGTGTCCTCAGCTTCTCAGCTATAAAATGGATATAATACCTTATTTCACCGAAGGTAAGATGGAAATCCTCAATGGAAGAGGAGCATTATTTTAAATATATTTTTAGTGATTTCAGAGAAGGAAGGGAGAAGGAGAGAGAGAAACATCAATGATGAGAGAGAATCATCAATTGGCTGCCTCCTGCACGCTTCCCACTGGGGACCGAGCCAGCAACCCAGGCATGTGCCTTTGACCAGAATCGAACCCGGGACCCTCCAATTTGCAGGCCGATGCTCTATCCACAGAGCCAAACCAGCCAGGGCAGGAGTATTATTTTATATACCACTAAGAAATAATATGTGGGGAGGGTTAGAGATCAGCCAAAGGACTTGTATGCATGCATATAAGCATAACCAATGAACACAGTAGGGGAGTGAGGGCCTGTGCTGGGGGCGGGAGTGGGCGGGCAGAGGTCAATGGGGGGAAAGGGAGACATATGTAATGATTTCAACAATAAAGAATTTAAATAAAATGAAATAAAAAATACCCATTGCCCACTTATCAGGAGATCATTTCAGGGGTTAAAATGCAGGAAAAAGGGGGAGTGTATGCCTCAACATTAATAAAACATACAGTGTCCATTTCCACAGATGGTCCTGAAAGTTACGTGGCTGGTGCCATTTAAGGCTGCAGGGAGGCTTAGAGATACAGAAGGCACAAACTGGGACAGGCTGCCCAGATGTTCCTTCTTATTAGTGAGCCATTGAAATTAATCTGCATCTACACACCACAGGCAAGATTTTGTTTCCTTTTTAATCTTTAGTATTTTATTTTACTTTAAAATACTTTTTTTTATTGATTTCAGAGAGGCAGGGAGAGGAGAGACAGAAACATCAATGATGAGAATCATTCATTGATCAGCTGCCTCCTGCACACCCCCCTCTGGAGATGTGCCCACAACCAAGGTGCATGCCCTTGACCGGAATCGAACCCAGAACCCTTTGGTCTGCAGGCTGATGCTCTATCCACTGAGCCAAACCGGTTAGGGCCTGAGCAACTCTTTAAAATACAGTAAGAACCGAAACTGGTTTGGCTCAATGGATAGAGCGTCAGCTTGGGGACTGAAAGGTCCCGGATTAGATTCCAGTCACGGGCAAGTGCCTTGGTTGTGGGCATATCCCCAGTATGGGGTGTGCAAGAGGCAGCTGATCGATGATTCTCTCTCATCAATGTTTCTAACTCTCTATCTCTCTCCCTTCCTCTTTGTACAAAATCAATAAATATATATATATAAAATAAAATAAAATAAAATACAGTAAGAGAACTAGTTCTGAGCTAGACTCCTGGCCACCCATAGACTGGTCTCACCTTTCTGTCCCCCCTCAGCTTCTGCTGCACCCTTCTAGGAACACAGGCAAATTTCTCAGGCTTCCCGGATCTCAAAAATCAGTCGGGGCTTGTTAAAAATAAATAAGTTAGTAAAAAGGATTCCTGGGCCGCACCCTAGACTTACTGGATCGGAATCCACAGGGGTTGGGAGTCCAGGAATGTTTGTTTTAAAGAGTCCCAGAGAGCCGAAACCGGTTTTGCTCAGTGGATAGAGCGTTGGCCTGCAGACTGAAAGGTCCCAGGTTCGATTCCGGTCAAAGGCATGTACATTGGTTGCGGGCACCTCCCCGGTAGGGGGTGGGCAAGAGGCAGCTGGTCGATGTTTCTCTCTCATCGACGTTTCTAGCTCTCTATCCCTCTCTCTTCCTCTCTGTAAAAAATCAATAAAATATATTTAAAAAAATAAAAGTAAAAGTAAAGAGCTTCAGAGGGTTTTCCTCACCAGGGAAGTCTGGGTAACGTCTCTAGGCCTCTCCACACTGACCCGCATTAGAACCGTTGAAGGAGCTTCTAAGTAAGCTGCGCGATGCTTGTCTCTGAGGATCCCGTTCCCCAGCAGTGGACTTGAGGGGTGTTCTGCTGGTGATTGTAAGCTCTGAGTTGGTGGTTAAAACGCATAAGAACCATGGGCTGGGGCTCAGGAGTCTGAGCTTCCCACTAGCACCCTGATCCAAGGAGATGCTGCCACTGATGATACCAGAGCCACACTGA